AGTATTCTCAGGTGATCTGTTTATCATATTATTAACAATCACATTAGCAATTATATTAGCAGATCTTCTAATATTGAACCACTCCTGATGTGAACTCTCCTTTGTACTATTATATTTTAGCAAAACGCTAAATTTGAGTTCTAAGTGAGATGGACTGTGTGAGATCTTTACCACGTTTTGAAATCAGCATTGAGAATACTGCACACGTTAATACCTAAAATATTGTTATCTTTCAACATGTTTCCAATTTATGCAATGACTAATAATTTAATCAGAAAAAGTAAACAGCAGTTTTAAATAGTGACATAGAAAGTCAGAAAAATATATAGATCTTTGATAAACAAATAACATAGTCACTCAGATCTGGTGTTTGTTTTTGAGATTTGATGTTTGGGCTGTTCTTATTTTGTTTTGCTTGCTGGGTTAATGTGATACAATAAATAGTGTCATGAAATAGAATTAGCATCTGTGGCATCAACTACTCTGTCTCATAATGGATAAAATGGTTCAATGAGTAAATGTAATGCTGAGTTATGTTTTAATAGTTATGTTGAGATACAATCCTCATACCATACAACTCACTCACTTAAAGTATATAATTCAATTTTTAGCTTTTTGTATAGATGCAAACATAGCCATAGTCAATTTTAGAATATTTTCCTCAACTCAAACAGAAACTCCACGCCCATTAGGCTATCACCTCCTTCCTCTTCCACTTGCAGCCCGAAGCAACCACTAATCTACTTTCTGCCTCTATAGATTTATGCTGAACTATGGGCGTGGGGGGGAGGGAGCAGGGAGGTTTGTCATTTATTCTTCAGTTCAAAAGAATATACAGTATACCTACAAAGAAAAACTCCCTTAAAGCTAATTTTCTCTATAGATGTACACTTTAATCAGCACCCTTGGAAAGTATCCTACTCTTAATGACATCAAATACGATTGTATGATGAAGAAAAGAGTACATTTTCCTGCAGAAAGAGTTCTATAGATTTGTCACATTCTCAAATGTATCAGTTACACACAAAAAGTTAAGAACCACTGCTTTACAAAAAAGAAATTGCTTGAAAGAATTCTAAGTTTTCTAAAAGAAAAACAGATTTTTCCCAGGAAAAAAATAAAATTGGTGAAATCAGTGAAATGGACAGATATAAAATAAACAAAATAAGGGACTTCTCTCCCATAGAATGCCAGTAATGCAAGTTAATAAAAATGATTGGAAAAAAAAAATCTTTCTCAAAATATTACCTTAAAAAACCATAAAACACCAAAACTTGAACTTAGAAAGGGAGCATATAAAATATTTTACCAAAAGACATAAAGGCAAATAAGTCAGAAAAATATACACATCCCTTGTGAAAAATACCAGATACTGAAATATATCAATTATCTCCATTTTAATGTATAGATTTACTACACAACAACACTATAGTTCAAATTTGGGGGGAGGTAAGTGGTAGAAGGGATGTGACAAAGTGATTCTCAAATTAATCTGGAAGAATAGTAAGAAGACAAATAGCGTATTTTAAACAGAGGATTTTAGATACACATGTCCTATAAGAAATTAAACCACACTAAATATCAGATGTAATAATCAAAATGATGTTGTATTGGTTCAAGACAAAGAGAGGAAAGGAAAGAGGGTAGCAGGGAGGGTCACAGAGCCTAGAAACAGACCTTAGTATTTATATATCATTACCTGATAAAGGTGGTCTTCAAAATATGTTGGGAAAGGACAGATGTTATGGACTGAGTGTGTCCTCCCAAAATTCACGTTGAACCCCTGACCTCCAGTGTGGCTATATTTGGAGATGGGGCCTTGGAGAGAGAATTAAGGTCAAGTGAGGTCATAAGGGTGGGGCCCTAATCTGATGGTACTGGTATCCTTATAAAAGGAGGAGACACTTGAATACAAATACAGGAAGGGCCATGTGAGGACACTATGAGAATGCAGCCATCTGCAAACCAGGAAGAGATTTCTTACCAGAAACCAACCACGCTAGCACCCTGATCTCAGACCTCTGGCCTCCAGAACTGTGAGAAAATAAACTTCTGTTGTTTAAGTCCCCCAGTCTATGGTATTTTGTTAAGGCAACTGGAGTTGAATAAAACAACAGATTATCACAATAATGTTATTGGAAATGATGAGTCATTTTAAAAATAATTAAAGATAGAGTCTAACCTCACACCCTATGCTAAAACAAACATTTTATGTTTGTGACCTACGTGTACAAAAAGTAACTGTAGAAATACTAAAATCAAATATAGACAAATAATAACATATTCTTTGGAATAAAGAAGACAAATTGTAAAGTTAAATTTTAATAAACTTTACACAAAAAATTTTAAACTTCTGTAAAGCCATGGAAAAGAAAAGCAAAGGTTAGAAACACATGAAACAAACAGAAAATATTTACAACCTATATATCAAACTAGAGATTCGCATTCAGATTAAAGGATAACATCCATGTTTTATTAATAAATAATATTTTAAAAACCTATTAAAATATAAAGGTAAGACTTATGAACAGGAAATTCTAAGAAGATATACAAACAACTAAAAACATATGAAGAGATTTTCAGTATCAGTATTAATCAAAGAAAAACAGTAAATTAAGATATAATTTCTAACAGATTGGGAATGATTTTTTGTTTGTAAATATAACCTTCTATGGAGTAAAAGGAAAAGGGAAATAGGCATCCTAATAGATGATGCCCAGAGTGCTAAATGGTTCCATAATTTTTGTAAAGCAAATTAGCAATACGCATCCAGAGCCTAAGAAATGTATGGATCCTTTAACTCACTAATTTCACATGTAAGACTTACTAAAAACAATGAAAATAAATAACAAGGGGTAGTAAATACAAATATGTGTAAAAATCAAGCCATAAAATAGGTGAGGGACTGTGTTTTAGTCTCAGAACAGCCAGGAACTTTTGAAAAGTATTTTCAAATTTGCCAGACTTTATTATGACAAAAGGATAAAAAGGTAGATGTCAGATCAAGTCCTTGGCCACATATAAGCAATGAAGGAAATTTTAAAATGAGATAAATATAATTAGATACATAAACATTTAAAAATTTTAAATACTAAAAAAGAAACTATAAACAAAAATAAAAGGAGAAAAATATTTGCAACACATCCTCCTTGGTTTCAAACTTGTACATTAACCAAGCTCCAAACCCTGCTATTCAGAAGGCACTAAGGCAAATCAAAGTAATCATATCCAAAGGCAGCTCATGAACCTCCCACTCGAAACCATCAAAACCAACACTATCATCCAAGGAAGGACACCATAAACTTAGGCATTACCTTGGTATTTCTTTCAACCTTACCTTTTGTATCTAATCCATCAGAAAGCACAATTGATCTTACCTCCTAAAAATCTCTTGAATTCATCCACATCTCTCCATATCTACTATCACTCCTCGGTCCAGCTATCATTATCTCTTACTGGAATACTAGACAAGCCTACTAATAATTGCTCTCCTCACATCCATTCTCACCCCTCATTCATAATTTAGCCAGAATAATCTTTTCAAAATGGAAATCTGATCGCCTCACTCTAATTTACTCTACCCCGACCCCGAACACACACACACACACACACACACACACACACTCCATTTAGCCCACTGCATAAAGGATCGATTGGGTCTTAAATAACATGACACCTACCTATTGCTCCTTCTTTATTCTTACTTCCTACCATAGCTGCCTAGCTTTCTAAGTTCTATGTTCTAACCACTCCGGACATTTTTTAATGCCCTAAGACAACTACAGTCTCTTCAATTATAGATTTTACACATGGCATTTACTTTGGAACACTTGCTGATGAACAGATAAAGAGAGTTGAAAGGTCATGGATGACTTAAGTTTGTAGCTAGCACAACTAAATGGATACTGGAGCTATTTACCGAAAATTTTTAAATGCTAAATTATCTTCTTTTATTAACTCCTTACTATTATTTCTCAAACACTTCAGACATAAAAGTACCTCAAAGCCTTTGAACTATTGTTTGTTATACCTCAAACGTTCTTTTAATTAATCTCTGCATAAATAATGACTCCTTCTTGGTATTCCGATCTCAGAATACTACTGACTAACCAATCAAAAGCAGGCACCTTGTTGTCCTAATGTATCACTGTATTTTAATTGTCTGCATTGCATTCTCACTGTCTGATAATCTTATTTATTTATTGAGAATCTCCCACATTTAAAAAATAACTCATTGAAACCAAAGACTTTGTCTTATTCACTGTTGTGTTTCCAGCCCCAACATGTAATCAATGTTCAAGAAATACTGAATGAAGAATGCTTAATTCAGACCCAGCATTCCCTCTATGAAATAGATGATCACCAAAAATTCATGATATGATAAAATATGTCAATAGATCACGAAAACTCATAATAAGGCAACTTATTGATATGCTGTAAACATTTTTTTTCAAAGAGTAAGAATAAACTGTGAATGCCAGATTACTATTAATAGGCATTATAGAAGGCCATATGGAGTAGTGGCTAAGAACATGGGCTCTGGAAAAAAAAAAGAACATGGGCTCTGGAGTCACACTGTCTGGGTTTGATTTGAAGCGCCACTACTTACTGTGTGACGTTAGGCTAGTTACTTAACCTCTCTGAGGTTCAGTTCCCCAGACCATAAGGTAAATATAATAATAATACCTACCTTATAGGGTTGCAGTGAGGATGAAATATATATGAAGTACGCATAACAATGCCTGAGACACAGACAGCAACCAATAAATGTAAACTGCTATTTTCTTATGGCAAAGAGCATCCATAAAAGTGGCCTCAATGTTAGAGAATATGGCAATTTGAAGTGGCTACTCACATATGTCTTTGAAGGTGATAGCTCCAAATGGGTGATTCCAAACAATACATATATAATGATTTTAAAGCAGTAAAACACTAGACTAGTAGAGTAGTATCCATGTATTAAGCTATAAGTGAGAACTTCTCTTGGGCTTCTTACATACCGAGTGGGTACGGAGCGCCGCGATGGTTTTTGAAAGCGCCATTTCCCATAGCTCATCAATGTAGGCTCTATTTACTAAGCCCTGGGTTGTATGTAAAATGTGATCTTCAACCACAAAAAAGCTAAAATTGAGGAAAAAAGAAAGCACAGCTGTCAGAAATTACAGTTTGACTACTATCTCCAGGGTTTGACAAACATTAACAACTGCCATCAAATTTGAAGTTAATGGTCATTTTCTTCCTAAAGAAAAGCTGTTTGGTATCATAAACAAAATCAGATTTCTTAGACTTGCAATTATGTCCCTGATCATGATATTTTCTTAACCATTTAAACAGAAATTGGAGTTACATTTCTATAAATATTAACCATGTCATCCAGTAATGGAGGAAAATGTTTATAGGTAAAGGAGGCCAATTTCACTATATTAAAAACAGTAGGTCATTAATATATTTTTAAAAACTAACAGTTTTAAAATAATATAATAAGATCAGAATTCAATGTTTTTCTCCCTTTATCCACAAAAAGTGCTCTCAACAATATAATGTTGAAACAAACAGGACATTCCTTTGAAATCATCAGAAAGTCAAAAATAAACCTTATCTTAAGAATTTGAGAAAAGAAAAATAGTATTTCCCAAGGAAAATTTGATTTTTCCAAGTCTCACAAATCTATGTATCAAAAGTATATACATTTAAAAATATATATATACATATACACATATATATACCTACCCTACAATTTGATTAAAATACTTTCTGTAGCCATCTAAAGTTTCATGCTGCAAAAAAGCAAAGAAAAAAAGTTATTCTTTCTATTTTGATACATTAAGACAAAGTTAAAATCAGTTTCTTAATTTCTTAAGGCTCAGTTCCCAAGACTATAAGGTCAATATAATAATAGCACCTACCTTATAGGGTTACAGTGAGAATAAATGAGAAAATACATATCTAGTCCTCAGAACAATGCCTGGCACATAGTAATCAACAGATGTTAGTTGCTATTTTCTTACTGCAAGTCACATCTGTCAAAAGTGGTCTCAGAGTGACAGTTAAGACAAACAAACAAAAAAAAACCACATATGCAAAATAATTAAAAGATACCATAGAAGAAAAATGAAAGTGATATAAGTGAACATTGTTGATCCTACCATGTTAGATGGAGGCTGGAGCACCAAACGGGCCTGTTTTCGCCTCTGTTTTCGGTAGTAGTTCTCAAATGTTTCCCGGGCACCCTATAAAATAAATGAAAAGAAATGGGTTGACACAATTAAACCAATTACCCCAGTATTTCATGGGAAAAGAAAAGCTCCCAGGTCTGGAATAGAGGCAGTCCCACATTTCTCAAAATCTGCTATTTTAACAATGATAAAAATAACAGGAAAAAAGAACAATTACCATTTATTGAACCTTACTTAAAAATCCCGTAGAGGTGGATACAAAAGATTCGTAAGAGAAAACTACAAGAGCTCAACCACCAACACATCAAAGCTGGTTTCTGAATGAACTATCACAAATTCACAAGAAGGAAGACAAACCAACATTCTCATAAATTATAACCAACAGCTGAGAAAATGTTCCTTATAAAATCTCACAGAATACCCCAGAAAATAAGTTCAGAGTGAAAACTAGTCTCAAACGAATCATGAACAAGGGGTCAAAGGAGGCAGGAAAAAAGCAGGAGCTGAGAACAGTAAATCAGTCTTCCAAGACAGAATATAATCTAGCATAGGATTAACCCAAAAAAAGAAGAAACAAAGCCCAGGAAATTCTTAATGCCCAGTTTCCACTTTTCACATGGGGTTTCTGGGCTTAAACTGAAAGGTGCTCTAGAAACCAAGAGCTGGCTCATGAGCTCTGGAACTGGGTTGAACAGTGTCCTCTCAAAATTCATCTCCTTCCCAGGACCTCAAAATGTGACCTGATTTAGAAATAGGGTGACTGCAGATGTATTAGTTAAATTAAGATGCAGTCATACTTGAGTAGGGTGGCTCTTAATCCAATATAACTGGTGTCCTTACAAGAAGAGGAGAAAAGACACAGAGAGAAAGATACGCAGGGAGAACACGATGTGGCAAAGCAGGCAGAGACGGGAGTGACGCGGCGGCAAGTCAAGGAACACCAAGGACTGCCGGCCACCACCAGAAACTGGGAAGAGGCAAAGAAGCATCCCACCCAGAGTCTCAAAGGAGGATGGCTTCTGACGCTGTGATTTTGGATTTCTAGCCTCTAAAACTGTGACACAACAGATTTCTGTTGTTTTAAGCCACTCAGTTCATGGTGCTTTGTTATAGGAGCCCTAGGAAACTAATATAAGCTCAAAGCTTTTAAAATTTGATGCTCTCCTATTACTAAATTCTACTCTTAATCCAAGACTTTTCTAAATAAACAAGAGTAGAAAAGGAGAGACAGCATTGCAGAGTAGTTAAGAGCACTGATTTTGGAACCAGACGATTTCATTCAAACCATGGCTCTGCTCCTTACTAGCTGTATAACTCAAATGACTAGCTATACACCTTCCCTCGCACTAATTAACTATTTAACTTTCACTAATAATGTGCTGTGGTTTTCTCATTTGTAGAGATGCCAATTTCATACGGTTGTTATGAGGACTTAGAAGAGCTATAAAGTTTTTAGAACAGTCTCTGATAAATAATAACCACTACGCAAGGGCTTATTTTAAAAATAAATCAGATGAAATCAATGATGAAAGTGAAAGCCCTGCCCACATGAGAAAGTATAAACTTCATGCAATACCTAGTTCACTTGCCTTCGCCTTCCCTAAAGGCTGAAGAATTTTACTCAACGTGACTCCCTTGTTGCATCCCTATACTGGGAATGCTGTTTTAAGGTACTCAATCAGGCAAACTCAATAGTGTAGCTCAGAGGTTGGCAAAGGTTTTCTGTAAAGGGCAGGAGAGTCAGTACTTTTAGGCTTGGTGAGCCAGACAATCTTTGTTGCAACAACTCAGCTCTGCCAGTAGTGCAAAAGCAGCCACAGACAGTATACAAATGAACGTGACTTTGTTCCAATCAAACCTCATTTGTGGAAAGTGAAATTAGAATTTCATATAATTTTCAGCTGTCATGAAATACTATTCTTTTGATTTTTTTACCAACTGTTTAAAAATGTAAAAGCCCTTCTTGGTTCTCAGGTCATACAGAAACAGGCAGTAGGTTGGACTTGGCCTGTGGGTCATGGTTTGTTGACCCCTGGTGTAGGTTAAAAGCAAAGGTTTTAAAATGCTAAAGTGATTATAACTGTACACAGCAGAGTTTTTCTGCCTATAAAATGAAATCAAACATTAAGACAACTATTTCAAGGCTTTCTTAGTCCATAAGTTAATGAGGTAGCAAATGATTCTATTTAAGAAATAAGAAGTGGAAACTGCTTGTTGGTTTGTTAAAGTTACTCCCCACTTGTCACCATTTCACAGCATACTGGTATTATTAAATGTCAATTACATTCTGTACACACTGAAAGGCTTTTCATTTTAAAGTTAACAGCCCTAAAGGCCCTTAATTATTCTAGTGTGATGTTACATATTCAACATGCTTTGGAGCCAAGATACACTTGGCTGAGAATTTAGAGAAAGCCTTCTCTCTAATTAGACCATAATATACTAATTTAATTATTTGTTGTAAATGATAGAAAATATACAAGATGAAATTCCATATAAAAAATAAATCATAAACTTCTACTTAATTCTAAACTAGATAGAGTTTTGCCTTTCAAATATTCATTCAATAGAATAAAAACATTAAAAAAGACCAATTTATCTAATAGGTCTGGCTTCTCCATTTGCAAAAAATGGGTTAGATTTTCCCTAGTGGCTGTTAAATAAATTCACCTCTGATTATTCTATTTCCTCTGCCAATTTTGTCAATTCAATGCTTACAGGTGGAATTTGAGAAGTAAATGTCTGACCAGTCTAGTTGAGTAATTGATGAAGTGCCTGCCTATTCACAAATAGGTCAACAGACGAACTCTAGAGATTTGCCATTTCAGCTTCAAGCTCTTATAATCACTAATATTTAAAAAAGAAAAAAAAAAAACCTCAAAAGCTATTGATGGTATAAATAAATAGATATAAAACAACAGGCAGGTAAATGAAAAGTTGGTGTTTTTTTTCATTTTATGTTATTAGTATTACAGTGCTCCAAAGGCTTTATAATAATTAATTAATAGACATAATATCACAGAAAAACAAGTCACTTAATATATATAAAGTGCTTACCATGTTATAGACACTGAGACTTGTCCCTCAATTTACTGAATTTAGTCTATGGTAGAAGACTAGCAATTAAATAAGCAATTATATTAAACTACAGAATCCTACGTATTGGAGTGGTTTGTGTGTCTGAGTGTGTGGATGTGCATGTGTGTTAGTGGTTGGAAAGAATGTCAGAGAAAGCTTCCCAGGAAAAAATGACATTTATACTCATCATTGAAGAATGAGTCAGAAGACTAAGCCAGGTAAAGAGAAGGGGAAAAATGTTCCTGGTAGAGACACAGAGGTTCAAGGGAAAAAAGCATCTCGCATCCCATGAACTGAAAGAAGCTCTTCACGGCTAGAACTTGAGGGTGTGAGGGAGAGGGATGACAAGAGATGAGGGTGGAGGGCTTGGCGAATTATGTGAAGATATTTAGACTTCAGCACTAAAACAATAAGAGTTTTAGACATTTGGAAGCTGTGATGTGGTGAGTAGTATGAAGAAAGGAAAAATCAGATACAAAAAGATCAGTCAGAATTTGACATATATTTAGGAGGTACTTGCCGATGATTGACTGGATATGGTGGTAAAAGACAAGAAGGAAAGAAGGCAGATGTGAGGTTTCTAACCTGGGTAATTGGTTTGATGGTGGTGTCATTTCATGAGCGAGGAACATAAAGAATATACAGTCATTTATTATTCATGGATTCTGTATTTGCAATTTGCCTACTAGTAAAATTTATTTGTAACCTCAAAATCAATAATCATGGTGGGGCCGGCCTCGTGGCCAAGTGGTTAAGTTTGCACGCTCCACTGTGGTGGCCCAGGGTTTCGCCAGGTTCAGATCCTGGGCACGGACATGGCACCACTCATCAAGCCATGCTGAGGCGGGGTCGCACATAGCACAACCAGAAGGATTTGCAGCTATATATACAACTGTGTACTGGCTGCTTTGGGGAGAAGAAGAAGAAGAAAAAAGAAGATTGGCAACAGTTGTTAGCTCAGGTGCCAATCTTAAAAAAAAAAAAGTCAATACTCATGGCACTTTCATAGTCATTCATGACACATACAGAGTGGTGAAAATTTGAGCTGCCCGACGCACATGTTCCTAGCTGACTTCAAACAACGCAACACTCTGCCTTCTTATTTCAGTTCACACACTATAAACAACTATCCTTTTCATAATCTATTTAGTGCCATGTTTTTTTGCATTTTTCTGCTTCCTTTTTTAAATTGAGATTCAACTGACATATTATATTAGCTTCAGGTGTACAACATAATGATTCAATATTTGTGTATATTGCAAAATGATCACCACAATAAGTCTAGTTAACATCCATCACCCCACATAATTACAATTTTTTTTTTCTCATGATGAGAACTTTTGAGATCTACTCTCTTAGCAACTTTCAAATATACAATACAGTATTATTAACTATAGTCACCATGCTGTACATTACATCCCCAGGACTTATTTATTTTATAACTAGAAGTTTGTACATTTGGCTACCTTCAGACAATTCCCCCATACCCCACCACCTGCCTTTGGCAACCACTAATCCACTCTCTGTATCTATGAGTTCAGTTGGTTTTCTTGTTTGTTTAGATTCCACATATAACTGAGATCATATGTTGTCTTTCTCTGTCTGATTTATTTCACTTAACATAATGTCCTCAAGGTCCAGCTATGTTGTCACAAATGGCAAGATTTCCTTCTTTCTTATTGCTGAATAATATTCCATTGTGTATCTATAACACATTTTCTTTATCCATTCATCAACGGACACTTAGGTTGTTTCCATATCTCAGCTATTGTAAACAATGTGCAATGAACATGGGGGTGCGTATACATCTTTTCAAGTTAGAGTTTTTGTTTTCTTTGGATAAAGACCCTGAAATGGAATTGCTGAATTATATGGTAATTCTATTTTTAATTTTTGGAGGAATCTCCATAATGTTCTCCATAGTGGCTGCATAATTTCCATTCCCACCAACAGTGCACAAGGATTCCCTTTTCTCC